ACAGTAAAGTGCCATAAAATTACTTATGGCTGCCTGCAACTATTGTCATTGTTGACACGCTAATTCTCTTATGACATTTTCTCGTCCTTCTCGCCTGACTGCAAAGATGGGTGAGATGGGAGTGATGAAATAACATGTCCCTGATGTCAAAGTTGAGGTTCCGAACCATCAAAATATTGTGTTCATTTCATCCAACTAATTGTATAAGAAGTTTCCTATGCAGCATATTTATACAGTATTTTCATGTTATGGTAGATCTACATGTTTATATATTTGTTTATTAACTTGTTTGTGTGTTTGTTTGTTTATTTTTTTGTTTATTCATTCATTCATTTGTATGTATATTTATTTTGAAATAAGAAATAATGAAATAAGGAAAATATCTTATGTTTACATGGATAAGCATTTCAGACTAGTATCACTATTCAGAAAAAATTTTCCTGAGTCCCACTTGTGTCTGTGGCCATAAAGACAGCAGTTTAGCCAAACAAATATTATAAGAAAAAAAATAAATGGAGCCTACATTAGTGCATTTATATTTTTGGTTACTGGATTATAGTTCTGTCTATTAATGAATCACTATCTAATTATATAGTTATCTATCTGTGCATCAGACTCAGTGTCCTTGTAGATCTGTTTATCTAGTTAAATATATATACACATCTATTATGTAATTTATATATGAAGTTGGATAATAAAGAACTTTAACCTTTTTCAGATACGGCATAAAAATGAATTGTTGGAGCTTATCCCTGGGGTTGGTATTGGGTGTGCTGGTGCTAAGAGAAGCCACTGCCCACACACACCACCTGCACAATGCCCAGAAAGAGCGAGAGGCAGATGGTGGCAGGACCGCACGAGACCACGGCCATTATACCAATGGGGAACACAATGCTGATTTCGACCATGAAGCCATTCTAGGTGTGTAGTGGCATTTTCATGTCTTGAAAATGTTCATATTGATTGTATGATTTTTATTGGAATGATGATGACTATGATGATGGGGAAATTAAATGAGTCTGATGCTGCTGGGGATTGCATATACATAGATGAAATGCCCACTGTATGTTTAGCTTATTAATTTTCTTTGTATATAGATGGTTCTACAAGCACTTAGTTACTAGTGAGCCAATTAGTACTACCTCACTTGTTTACCTGTTTCCTTTATTTTTGGAAATCTTTTCTTTTATCTTCTATTGTTGTTAGTAATGTCAGTAACATTATAAAAATGTCTTTAGTAAAAATAACAGCATCAATATTGGAAGCATTAATAAAATGTTTTTCGTGCAAACTCAAAGAAATGTCAAATCATCAGGTGATGATGATGAATCAGAAGATTGATATTAACAATAATGTTATTGTTGTCATTATCATCATTTGATCATCTAGAAAAGTTTTATTCCTGGAACTGTAGCACCAGAGTATGATAATTTTCTTATTTACGATATATATCTGAATTTGCAGGGAGTGTCAAGGATGCTGAAGAGTACGATCAACTCCCAGCCATGGAGGCGAAAAGACGGCTGGAGATCCTGCTTGTGAAAATGGACCGCGACAATGACAAACATATTGATCGTAAGGAGCTCCATTCTTGGATTCTCCGCTCTTTCAGGTAAGAGATTGATCTTTGATGAAAGGACCGAGTTGATTTCTCCATACAAGAAATAAACTCGTTTGGAAATTTATTTTATGACATTTGATGTCAACTTTCTCAGAATGCTGTCAGAGGAAGAGAGTTCTGAGCGCATGGATGAGGTGGATGAAGATGAAGATGGGTACGTCACCTGGGCTGAGTACATTGCCGAGACCTATGGCATCAAGGATCCCGAGGACCAGCAGCTCTTAGACCAGGAGGACCAAGTTGAGGAACAGAGGGTAAGATTGGGGAAAGTTTTGGATGAGAGAAGGATGTGGGAGGTGATTGGGTAAGGATTAGGGGATGAGGGATGTTGTGGAAAAGGTTTGGGCGGAGATCAGGGGAACGAAAATAAGAATTGGAAAGAGATGGACAAGGATAAAAAGGAGATGGAGTGAGAGGATGAAGAAGTGAAATGTATTGCTTTTCATCAATGAGGAAGGATATGGAAAGTGGCCAGTGGTACCATTAGATTACCCCCCCCCCCCAAAAAAAAAAAAAAAAAAAAAAAAAAAAAAAAAAAAAAAAAAAAAAACTTCAGTGGAAATTATGCTGTGCAAGGGACCAGGATCAGTATTTAAGAAAGGATTGTAACCCCCCAAAAAATTGCCTTAATAATTTTGTCTTTATTGCCTACTTTTGCCTGAGACTCACCAGAATAGTAAGATAGGCTTGGAACTGTCTTCAAATGGTCCTTTTGTAATACTTGGTAAAATTAAGGAAGAAGGGAACCACTGAATTAAACCTTATCATTGAAAATTGTTTGGGAGTAGCATATTGGAAAAAAAATATATATTCAGAAATATAAATTGTTAGCTGTTTTTAACTGATTTGTTGTGTTAGATTTTGTGATACTGTTCCTAT